AAAAAAGAGTATCTACTATGGGCACAGGTTGTAATGGAACCTGTGCTGGTTTTTTCTAGCTTACCTTCTGGCAGGCAGAGCAGGCCTGGCAGACCCTCTCTACCTGCTCGTACATTCTAGACCAGAAACACCACTTCATCAGTCAAGCCTCTCTCTTACTACAGCCCATATGCCTCCGCGAGGGATTCTCATGAGCTAACTTCAACAGGGGAACCCTGAAGAGTTGCGACATCAACAGCTGAGGAACCTCCTGTCCCTCCCAGGGCCCCATTTTTATCTAGTATAATAAACCCCTTCTAACCTCAAACCTGGGTAGGCTTGCATAGCGTTCTGGGTCAATCGTGACCTCTTCTTTCTTGGCTAGCTCAGTCTCGAGTATAGCTCAGAACTCAGGTTATTCAGCCCGTGCGTCTGTGAATGGCTCATTGTTGGACAGGCCTTCCACATCAAAGCCCTCTACCGTCTGTATCTCCTCTTCATCTAATATCATGGGGTACAGGTGGCTGTGGACTAAACCCACCAGCATTTCCCTCGCAGCCTTCAGCACGGTCACCTTGCATATCCTCCATGGGTAGTATTTTCCTTGCCCATGCATACACGTCATCTTTACAGGATTTTTTTCCAAACATATCCGGGCGGTGCCAATGTAGATGGGATAAATGTGTGCGCATAACCAGTATCAATAACTGCCTCGAATCTTCTATCTCTTACCCATGCCTCAATGGTAGGTTTGGGTGAATGCCATTCTCCTCCTTTTGCTACAGTCCATAGACTCTACCCCTTTAGGCTCCAGATCCTCTGGTGGTTTCTATTCCCTCAAATGGGGAATGTCGTACCTTGAGCACTGACCACACCGTACTGGTACAGTCTCGGGACATATGTCCAATCCTCCCACATTGGAAGCAAACCACTGGAGTGTTGCCTGATCATTTAAAGTCTTGGGTCTCTTTACTTCCTGGCCTCATGAGGCCTGGAGTATGAACCTGCCTTCATATTCTGCTCCGGAGGCCCTTCTCCCAGGGTGCTATTGAAGTTCTCCGCCAATTGCAGAGCCTCGGCAGATGTCACGGGTCGATGATAATGGACTCAAAAATCTCCTCATCCAGGTCAACCAGGAATTGCTCTAACATAATTTTATTGCAAATTTCCGCCTTCAAACTGTCTGCGGGCTTCAGCCACTTAGTTACAAGATCGCCTAACCGCTGCAACAGATCCCTTAGGGCCTTTTCTTCTTGCTTTTTCTTGGCTTGAAAAGCCTGTCTCTAAGTCTCTGGGTTAATATCCAACCAATATAAAATCTCCCTCTTCATTTTATCATGGTCCAGAGCTTCATCTTGGGTCATAGCCCTGTATTCCACTTGGGCTTTTTCTATCAGCAAAACCCCCAACTGTCCAGCCCAATGGGCTTCTCCAGTCCAGCAGCCAATGCTGCTCTCTCAAAACTCTCCAAGAAAATTTTGGGGTCATCATGAATGGTCATTTTGGGTACTTTCAATTCCATGATGTTCCTTTGATGCCAAACTTGCTGTTACACCCAGCTCTTTTCCATAGCCAACTGTCAGGCTGACTGTTGCTGCTGTTGCTGCAGAGCTTATCCAGTCAGGTGCAAGGTCTATTGAATTCGGACTGGCCCTGCCGCTGCTGCAACTGAGACGTCCATACTCTCAGATTCTTCCTGGCCATCATCAAAGTTCCCAGCCAATGCACCAGTTTGTTGGGGGATCACTGCATAAGGACATGGCCTTCTGTGCCCCAATGACATTCGCCTACTTGTCCCCACCGAAGAAAAAAGCTAGCTACCTGGTCAGATTGGAGTTCCTCCTATATCTCTCCTGCCATGACTTTGACATTTCTCTAAGTTCCAGGACAAATGATGTTCGCCCCAGTCTGACCCTGGCTGCTGGCGTCCCCAGTGGAATTCAGCTTTTAAAAGACAACAAAGAAGAAGAAAGAAGAAATGAAAACTGTCCAGCAGGCTTAGCTTCTGCCTTGCCCCCAGCCTGCTGGCACTTGCAGCTCCTGCCGCACAGCCTTTTTGCAGCGTAATCAGCTGATTAAAACCCCGCTGTGATAATTAATTGATCGTGGCAGCAATTAACCCTGCTATGATTCATGAGCTCCTCTGAACCCCTAAACCAACTAGTCTGCCACCCCATTCCTGGGTTTCTTCGAGCTGGGTGTTCAGTGGCTCTGCCAAGCTTGCCTTCCTTCACTCTCCTCCTTGTTTGCCTGGGCTGCCTGGCCAGAAATAGCTCCCAGAGCACCCGGAGAGCCAATCCAGCACACCTAGTGAGTTAATAAAACTGGCTTTGGGCGCACTGGGAGTTTCTTTCACAGCATGGTGGTCTTCTTCTCAGGTAACTTGTGGCTGGGGCCATCGGATTTCCACAAAGAGGCACCGTCAGCCTCTTCAAAGAAGCATTGCCAGGGACCAGACAAGACTGTAGTCATCTCAAGCAAACACTGTCTGGGGTGGCCATGTGACAATGCTTAATTAGTGAAGAAGGAAAATATCGTCATCCTCGTTTTAAAGATGGAGAAAGACACTGAGAGATTAAGTGGCTTGTCTAATCTTACACAGCAGATTAGTATCAGAGCTGGGAATAAAACCCAGAGTCTTAACTTATATCTTTGATCTAGCTGGCATTGCGTCTTTGTAAGGACTTTTATTATATGTATTTTTCCTTTATGCAAAAGAGCTGTATAATCACAATATCAAAACAGATCCAGAAGTAATAACTCAGCTAAAGAAGGGAGGATCTAGAACTGTAGAAGATAAAAGCTTCATGAGAGAAAAAGCTATCAGAAGCATGAAAAATGGGAAAACAACTGGCTTGGACAACAGACCTCGAGAACTGTTAAAAACAGGAAACAAGACAATTGACATACTGTACAAAATCTGCACTATGATATGGAAAAGGAAAACTTGGCCAACAGTGGACAAAATCAATCCCAAAGATGGGGAATCTACACCAAAGTACCAACTACCGCACCATTAGCTGCATCGGTGATCCAACTAAGGCACTTCTTAGAATAATACTAAATAGGCTCAAGCCACAAATAGAGACTGGGTTAGCAGAAGAACAAGCTGGATTCAGGTCTGGAAGAAGTACCACAGAACAGATCTTCAACCTCAGAATCATGTGCGAAAAATATCATGACCACCAAAAAGAACTTTATCATAATTTCATAGATTTTAAAAAAAGCCTTTGACAAGGTGTGGTGAAAAGCACTTTGGCTGGCAATGAAGAGGCATAACAGCAGTCCCACATTGATAAGTCTTATAAAAGAACTCTAAAACAATACAAGTAGTGGAATCCTGCTTGACATTGGTTTGCAGTATCAGTAGAAGTATGCCAAGACTGTCTTCTCTCACCCTGCTTATTTAATTTATAACTGGAACAAATCATGTCAGATGCCTTAGAGAACTTCACTGGTACAGTGTCAGTCGGAGGACGAGAAATTAACAACCTTTGTTTTGCTAATGACATTGATCTAATAGCTGGAACTGCAGAAGAGCTTAAGGAAATAACGGAAAAGCTGCATAAGGCTACAGAGAGATATAGATTGGAAATTAGTGTGGAGAAGAGCAAAGTAATGATAGCATCAACCAGTAGCAATGATGATGCATCAGTAAACATTGGTAATGAGAATCTAGAAAAAATAACACACTTCAAATACCTTGGAGCAGCCATCACAGAAGATGCTACATCAGAAAAATAAGTAAAAACAAGAATAGCAATTGCTGTTGGACAAATAGCAAAGCTGAAGAAAATCTGGACTGGCAGCAACATCACAATGAAAATGAAACTCCATCTACTATAACTATATGCTGTTGGCATTTCAACAACTCTCTATGACTGCAAGACCCGGACACTTACTAGTGCACTGGAAAAGTGAATTGAGACCATTGAAAGGCAGTGCTTCAGAAGACTTCTACACATACCTTACATTGCACACAGGACAAATGAATCTGTGAAAAATCAAATCAGACAAGAAGTTGGCAAATATGAACCCTTACTCAAAATCATAAGAAGAAGAAAGATGCAGTGGTTTGGACAAGAATGCCCAGCACCCTTACCAACTCATCCTGCAAAGTGCTGCAGATAAACAAAAAAGAAGGGGAAGACCTAAGACAAGATGGACCACCAGTATCAAAGACTGGATGGGATTAAAACTGACTGATTATACATGGATTGCAAAAGACCAGGAAGAATGAAGGGAAGTTATTGCTACATCAAAGGTGCCTCAACAGTCAGTGGAGCCTTGGGACTGACTTGACTTGATTTGTCCTTTGGTATAATAGCAATGTTTATTTAATAATTAACTCAAAGAATGAGGATGAAGCCAAAATAATTAGGAAAAGATACTAGTGTGTAGCCCACTAAGACAAATTTAACTCTTGGAAAGTTTTAGGCATGTGTATGATTAGTTTTGACTTTTCCAAGCCAGCTTTGCTACATCAGTAATTGGCATGAAAAATCAGCCACTGTGTTTCCAGATATGGACTTAGTTACCCCAGGGCTCTTTCATGCATTCATACTTTTAAACCATATAAACTGTAACTTCCTGAAAATAAAAATAGCTTTTTTAAACTTAGACTTTCATTAAACTATTTCAGATTACATGTGGTGGGAAAAGAATTTGCTTTTACATAATAAAAGTTTCTGGCTAGTAACAAGATATTTAAGATTTAAAACATACATACAGGGCCCAATTCTTCTTTTACTTTCAGCAGTGTAACTGCTGACTCCTCTCATATCAATTTCAATTCTACTGAAAGTCAAACCAAAAGTTTTCAATAAGAATTTAATATTTTCTTTTGTATGCTAAGTAAACCCCCAATCCTGTAGAGATCTCAATTGTAGAGATCCTGTGTAGTTCCACTGTAGTCAATAGAACTATTCACATTACCTCAGGTTCAGCATATATGCAAGTTTTTGTAGGATCATTTCTAATGGATTGTTCAGTCCTACTTAAATAGTTCAGTCCTGCTGTGACAAAATTCATCCAAAAAAGGAAAATGGTTTTCCATAGGATCTGTGGTCTGACGATCATAGTCATCTCATGAATTTGTATCACAATGTAGAAAAGCAAAGCTCATCAAGGGAATGATGCCTATGATGGCTGTAATCAGCCTTGTGCTCATTTCAGATGTACAATTTGTTGCTTAATAACTGAGATCCTCTTTTTCATTCTGGGGCACAAAAGGAAGGAAAAAGGGGGTGGGAAAAGGGTGGGAAAGCAATAGAACCGTCAGAAAAGGTCAATGACGATTACCGTCAGCTTTTGCTATTTAATATGAATCACATCTCTCTGAAATGGGACTTAATTTAGTCCCTGATACTGCAAACATTTGTACATGCAAGTCAATTTACACATGTGAACATTCTCACTAAACTCAATAGTAATCATTAGCACTCAGTCATAGTCATATATAAAGTTAAACACATGCATTTGTCTAGGATTAAGTTATTTCTAATGTGTTATGGTTATTTTTAGTCCTTAATTTTATCAGTAGCTTTTTTTTTTTTTTTTTTAGGAAAAGCACGCTGAAAAAACAAAAACAAAGAACTGAATGGACATCTATCCTAATAAGCAGTTTAATGCACCAGCTGAGTGAATTTTTGCACAAGGCTGGGCGGTGGAGAAATGTTTGCAGCACATTCTCTTTGTCCAGCACTAGTTGTGTAACAAGCCAGTTAGAGAATGTGGTTTTCATTATCTTTTGTGGTAAAGGGGCCCTTTCCATGATCAAAGAGTGGGCACTTATTCTGTCCAGCCCAATCAAGAGCACATGCCAGGGAAACTCTTTCCTTGCTGGAGAAGTGCATTGAAGAAGGATCCCCTTCTTCTTTGTTGGCTGCCTTTACCTCTCCCATTCAATAAGCTCTTTTCTTCCCCCTTCCCCCTACAATATTATAGCTCCATGTTAAAGGTACCACTTCAGCTTGGGGATGTATACAGTCTTTTGTGGTTGCAAAACCATTTTGCAGTTGTCAACTGGGGCTAGACAATGAAGAGGCGGAGGTGGTATGTAACAGAGACTAGAAACTTTCCCAGTACTTCTACCCACTGCAAGGCTGAGAAGCAGGAATGCCAGAACTATGCATCACATTCTTTGATACTTGTTTTTCATGGGGTAACAGAGGTATGAAATGAAAGAACGTTTTTGAATTAACAGTCTTGTAGGATTAACAACCTGTAGACAGTGATCTCTAGAGTTGCTTCAGTTGTTTCTATTGATAGCAGCACTGGCAGTAACACAACTGTACGAAATGAGGTGCAGTAGAACTACTGATACAATAAAGGGAATAAAAGAAAAACAAAAAGGGGAATTTTACATTAATCTCTTGTCTAGTTATTGGGAGTTTTGTTGACTTTGATCTTTGTATGCTGTTATTTTAAAATTTGCTAACTCTAGCCTCCACAATAGACTCAGTCCTGTTGCATGCTTGCTAGCCCTGAACCTATGAACACACATACAGTCATAAAGTAACACCTGAATGAGCAAACCTGGGGACTAGACAACATTTCCAGACAATCTGAAAATGAAAACTCCTTCTATACCTTTCTAATCATTTCATATATTGTGTTGTATGCCCATATAACAAGCATACTTTTCAACAACTGTTCATATTGAGATTAATTTTCTAATATTTGAGGTTTTGAGAGTTCTGTGGATACAGTCAGTCTCAGTGAAGCTATCTGAATATCATAAACATATGCTATCAAAGAATCTTTACATGTTGCCACACAAGATCTAGACCCATTACACCTTTTCAAGATAGTTAAATATGAGATGAATACACCTCATTTGCTAGAGGCAGCACAATCAAGTGAACTAAGCAAGGGGCTGGACCTGGAAAGTCTGAGTTTTAATTTCAGGTCCAGCACTGAGTAGCTCATGTGGCTTTGGACAGTCATTTAGGCCAACTTTTTAGAATCTACAAAAGGTGCATGCCTAAATCAATAGTTAGGCACTTTAATGAGGTGCACAATATCTTGGTGCCTACTGAAAGAGACTCAGAAGTCTTACTTCACTCCAGACCAATTACATCATTCAAAAGTAGCCTGCCCAAGACAGTTTGATGGGTTATTCTCTAAGGAGGGTTCTGAAGCATCTGAGGGAGGCATTCTCAGCTGTGAACTAATTATGAGTTAATTAATCTATCTTGGTTTAACACTTTAGAGACAAGTAGATTACTATCAGAATTCAGGCTAGGAAACTCTGGAAAAGCACAAGAGCATTTGTTTCTTGTTGAGTTTGTAGAGTTACACAGAATGTGTGCAGCTACCAACTTTTCAACCAGTTGATGCACAGCTGCACAGGCAGAAGCAGAGTCGGTAGAAAACTTTGCCCATTCTCCATATGCCACCCTAAATCCCTTTTGAAACCATCAGGATGCACCCATAACTAACCTATGAACAGTTTGAAATTTTCTTCCTAGATCTGTTTTCTTGTTGTTCAGGACAGAGTTCTCTATATTTGTCCTCATGTATTAGATTCAAGTCCAAGGTTCTCCCAAGATTAGAGATCCATTTGGCTAGTATAGTTAAATTATGACAGTTCAGTAGCCAATGGCACACACAAATAATACAGCTGTCTTTCACTCCCCATGTCAAAAACCAATGGCCAGAGGCATGTCTGGTGTAACTCTTATCTGAGCCAGCAAAGTTATACTTGACCTTAGTCCCATGACAAAGGTGCGCTCAGGTTTAAAATAAACTTTATGAAAGCTCTGGGTGCCCCAAGAGAACAATGTAACAAGAGTTAGTATATCTACCAGGATAAATCTCTGTGCTATTGCAACAGATTTGGTTCATTATGCTTTTAAGAAGTTATATATGTACAGATAGCATAATCTCTTATTAGATGGGTGAGTGCCAGACTGAAGGAATTGCTAAGCCAGCCAGTATCCTACCAGGAAAGATGCTCAGCAATAGACATAAAACCTTGCATTTGAGCTCTCTCCAACATTAGAATGGAACATTTAGTGACCCTGTCAATAATGTACAGAGAAATGCACATGCTGTTGAGGCTGATAAAGGAATATGAAATCCTAAACCGAGCAAAGGAACATTTTATTTCAGAAGTATTAAACATGTTAACTGTTTCACTCTACAACAAAACCATCTCATTCTGGCATGGGAATTTTTCCAGCTTCAGTGATTTGGTTTGCTTGTTTATGCTTTCCTTTGTTTTTGTTTTAAATTTTGATTTGAAGGAAGTAGAAGAAAAATGTAAAGGATAGCAGGAAAGCGTGGAAGTGATCAGTTCTAACCATAGATCTGAGCCTAGAGAGAGAAAGCAATCCGTATGTGTCTAAACTGATGCTTTGAAAGTTCCCCCGCCTTTTTTTGCCTAATGCAGATATATAATCTCCCTCTGCAGCTAACATAGCTCTAGGGGCCTGATCCTTTTACCATTAAACTCAATGGGAGGTTTTTTTAATTGATTTCAGTGGGAAGATAAATAGGCCCATGGGATGCATCCTCATGCTTTTTTTTAGAAAAGCCTGCCACAAATGCAACATGCACTGTAGGCGAATGGATGCTTAAGGAGTTTGTCTTCCCAGAAAGCTTCTTACTTTGTTCTAGATGTAAAACAGGTTAACAAGAAAACCTGAAAGATCAAACAAAAAACTCTCTTGTGGCCAAACTGTGTTATAGGACTATTTAGTTCCCCACTAGAGCCATATACCCAGATGCTAATACCATTTACCAGCTTATTAAAAATATCACTTTGCAAAACCCAGCAATAGACCTTGGCAGTATTTACAATGAGATTCTTTTGGCAAAAAATGCCATCATTCCCCCAAGCAGTGTAACTGTGCTGGTTATGGATGAAGACAAGGTCCCCAGCAGCCCTGCAGAGCATGTCTAAATATGGCAGTATTAAGAATGCCAGTCGGTGCAAGAGATTTGTCTATTCTAGTGCTTCCATGTGCTATTTCCACTTGTGAAATTGCATGAGTGTAGTAAAATAGACATTTTTTCCCAGAAATAACACTAACTGGAGATAAAGTCTAAAGGATTAGTGGGTTAAACTAATAAACTATAAATCAGTTTATAACATTAGCTGGCACTAGCCAAGTAATAACATTAGCAATTTTCTAGGAAAAGTCTGGTTTAAGTACAGTTCTGGCTAGCATAGTTTGCAATGCCTTACAGGCAGGTCACCAAATTAGAAGTACAAAATACAATCAGATAATGACAAAATATAAAATGAATAGCTTAATAACAGGTTGTCTGCAGACCAGAATTCCATCTCAATGCAGCAGTAAGCTCCAGAACCCATGCATTCTTCCTTCTAATACATCCTGTAAATGTAATTTGCTGGCATGTGTGTACGGACGTGACTTTCTGCTGTTCTTTGGTGTAATGAGGGGTGGGCAGCAAGGGCAGCAGCCTTGGGCATAAAATTAGAGGAATACAAGAATGGCAGCCACTGATGTAACCAGCCCAACCCCTGCTACCACCAAGTACAGACTCTGGTACTTACTCTGCTGGTGTTGTCACTTGGAAGTTCCAGTTGACCAGGGACGGTAGCATAAAAGTGACCGAAAAGTTCATAAAGATAGCTGTTGTTGTATTGCATCAGTCATCTGTTTCTGCTCCCAATTAAATCAGGGATAGCTTGCTTCTAAAACATCTTCTTGGGTCAACAAAACTAAAAATATAGAAACCAAAATGGAAGCAATCACTTGGTGGACATAGAAAGTACATACTGACTTCTCAAAATTATATATCCTTATATATAAGGATAGAGTCTTATTTGCAGATCACTGCCATTTACGTGTCACCCATAAAATCATGGAGGAAAGCCCCTTTTATGTTTTCTTTGAGACTTAGAAATAAAAATTCCAGAAATATCTTCTTAGATCTTTAACATAAACTGGACTATTTTGTTTGGTTGATCCACACTGCTTTCTTCAATCAATCATTTTAATTTTTCCATCTTACACACCACAATTATTAAAAAGCATTGGGAATTTTTACATGGAAGAAAATCATGAATTTTTTTGGACTTCTATAGTTCTTTTTTAGAAGTTTAAAAAAAAAATAAAACACGTAATTTAGTAAAGCATTGGTTCTTATTTTGAGCCTTTCCCTCTAAATCAATCTGCTAAGGCATGTGCATAGCTTTGTTCAGATGAAGGGTCTAAACTAACATGACATGTTTATATTTGTTGCTAGTTTTG